CATAACCAGTACAAAAGCCCTTAAAGTCCATTACTTTGTTATCAATTTGTGGTGTTCATTGTATTTCATTAACCAAATTACATCATTTCAGTCAATGGATTGCTCTTTAGAGAAAAGACAACCTCGCTATAAATACAGATACTGTTATTACTCTGATAGAAGATGTCTCTCAAGGCATCTCTGATTAAGATACTTGGTTATTGAAACCTGCACCACTGCATCAACCAGAATGAATGCTTAAATTCATAGCGGCATGTAACATTTTTCTGAAGTCCCACATGAGGAAACAAATGCCCCTGAGGTTCTGTCAATGAAAGAATTTATTTATGGGTTTAGGCAAGGAGCAGCATGCAGCTGGTTATGCCAGTCACAATACTGATGTTTTCCAAGACCCTTTTGCTGGTAACACGGCTGACCCGCAGTCTGGCAACACTGACTGCATCTCTCTGGCTCTATTTATAGAGCTGCAGCGAAAGTACCACAGGATTCTGAACAAAATCACAGTCACTGCTAAAGCTCTGTCTGACCACTGAGCACAAAAGCCTTTTAGAATGACAGAACTCGGCTGTGCCCGTTACATGCTTGTGGAAGACAAACACGCCTCCCCCATGGGGCTGCATGCACAAAAGCAAACTCGAAAGGGGAAATCATTGCTCAGGCTTCCAGTTCTATAAATGTTAAATTTGAAGTTTTCCAGTGAGGTTGCAGGAGTTGGGTTTGTTTAGTGAAACGTTGTTTTGGCAATTAAAGTATTTTATAACGTACAGTTGTACCAAAGTTACGCAAGCTGAAAATAATGCAGATTAATATGTGCACTGTTGATTATGGCCATACTTACAGTTCATTACACTGGTCCAGGTGAGGTGCTAGTCTGTAGAATGGAGATGGCTTGAAAATGGGGCAGTTCCACCTGTAACGGGTAAAAGCATTATTATTGTCAAGCAAAAGTGGAAACGCTCTCGATGCCAGAGAGGACACTTGTTTAAACTGCCTCTGACACAAGAAACTGTCAGAGATTATAAACAGCTTCAGAAGGTAAAGGATCCTTTGGTTAGTTTTTGCTTTACTTTCTAGATACTCTCTTTCCAGATCAGATCTGAAGCACTGACAAGTTGTTCTCTAGGGAGACTGCAGCTGTGAGCACAAGTAAAGGTGAACGCTGAGGAGACACCCGAGTATGAAGGGAGCCTTGGAGGGGTACCAGGCCATAATCAGGACTATCAGTATGGAAAGGCAGAAAAGCATACATAGAGAACAGGAAGCCATCCCCAAAACAGCCATTAAACAGAGCCACGCTCTCCTTGGAGTTCAAGATTCTGAACTTAACTGGCAAATTCCTTTCCTGAGAACAGCTTATTTTCCCTTAGTCATCCTCTTTCTACGCACAGATAAATGGCATGCTGTAGAAAGGCTACAGCTTGCTTTTAAATCTTCTGGTGTTTAAACCTGGGTATTAGCTTCCATGGTCCATGAAAAGCAGGCAGAAGATCATTCATATTAGTCTTTTAGCTTGGTTGAAGAGCGTATTTCTGAGCTGTATCTCCTTAACCTCCCCATTTACCGTGCTGTGGTTCACACCGCTGCGCAGTCTCAGGGCACTGGAGCTGCATTGCTTTTACACAGCACTAAACCAAAGCACGTGCTCCATGGGCCCTCAGACACCAGACTAGGTTAAGTCCGGAGTAAAACTCCTGAAAGACCTACAATAAGGCCATTGGGTCTTCAGTACCAGGCTTGGGATGGGGTTTTTTTTTGCTCTGTATTTCTGCTCCTCTTACACTGTACTAGTTACTAACATAGGCAGAGATTCTTACTCCTCCTATCCAGAGCTTCTTTCCAGCAGTGCAGTATTTACTGGAAAACTTGTTTTTTACGTGAGCTAATCCTCCATTTTCCTCTCAAATTCATTAAGCTTGTTTCTTTCCCCCCAGTCTTTTAAATAAAGGAGATTTTTCACTCAGTGCAGTACCATTCAGAGAAGCAGCGGTGGTAAGCAGCCTACCTTTATGAGGATTAAGTCTAGAAAGTTGGTAGCAAGCATTCAGTCACTTGCTAGTGGTAGTTAATTTCTTCAGTGAACATTACCAAGATGAAATACAGACAAGGCACACGCTCCTATGCAAGTAGTGGCAATAAGGTTCTGAAGGACTCAGCTTAACAGCTTGTGTCAGGTGATGAGGTTAATGGAAAAGAACGTTATTCAGGTCACCTAATGAAAATAACCTTGGTAGAGCCTCACAGAGCCCTGGGGTAGAATAATTTATTCCTCATCTGCTTCCATCACTGTAAGGTAACCCAAGACATAGAAGCAGCTGATTTAAACATGCACTCAGCCTGTCGGAGTAGTGCAGAAGGAACATCAGCAATTACAACGCATTGCCGTCATCTCTGCTGCCCCTCCAGTGATGATACACAGAGTACATCCCTCAGAGCACAGGCTCGCTTTGCATATCCCCATCTTTAAAACCAGACACTTTGTTAAGATGCAGGTTACCAAAGCACTGTGCAAGGGGACAACAAAAATACTGACCACGAGACATGAATGTTTTAGCCCATGCCTGGCCTTTGGAGCAGGCAGGGATGGAAATGAGGCCCCAGCAGCCATCGTTCACACTGTTCTGTCTGGTGTTTCAGTGGCTTGTTTTGTTGCTCAGCTATAATCAGAAATAAGCTTCAGCTCCTGTGACTGAGGCCTTCCACTGATCTTCTCCCAGGCCCCAGGGAGACTCTATGTCTCTGCAGCACCATTTCCCTTCTTATCCCTTAATGAAAAGTACTGGAAGCTGCCCGGGAAAACATGCCTTCCACACAGCAGCCTGAGCCCAAACGAAGCAGTGCTCCAGTTCAGGACCTCTGATATGAGCCAGAATAAGGGATTTAACATCACTTGATAGATAGCCCCAGTTTGATTCCAGACCTTGGGACAACCATTTTGAGAGCCCTAGATACAGATTTAGGAAGCCTTAGGAGTAGGGAGGAGCAGACAAGATTAACACTATCCCCACCTGCAGCATTACTACCTGTCTGCAAGCACCCATTTCATAGTCTGAGCAACACAAGCACCTCACCTGGGTAAAGCTGAAAATCCTTTTCACAGCCCTGGGTACAGTAACTTCCATATAGAAAAACAAGATGAAACTTGACAGTAATAGGAATGATAGAGAGGGAAAACATTCTTCCTTTGAGGCAGAGGCTCTGAATACAACAGCCAGTGACTGACTGGAAAAGGAGGGGAAGCGAGATAAATGCAGCTATTCAGGGCTTTAAAAAAAATTGCTTCTAAGAGAGAGGAAAAAGAAAAGCCTTTACCTTTCTCTTGACATTTAACAAAGCACCTAAACAAGCCAAACAAAGCAAAAGAATGTCAAAAACCTCACAAAGGGAGCTGCTTTTGGCTGTTTGTTACTTGAAATACGTTTACCCAACCTTGCTAAGAAACACCAAGCCCTCCATGACCCACAGCAGACCCTCATCACCACTCTCTTCTTCCCATGAGCTGTATTTGTAGGCTCCCCCCCGGCAGCCTCTGTAGGGACCAGCCTCCTTAGCAAATCCTCTTTACACCTGTGTGTCTGTTGGCTGCCAGAGATTTAACTCCTCATGTGCCACATCCAGGGTAACAAACCTGTAGGATTCCCAAAAATACCTCCAGCCACCCAATGAGCCCTGGTCCAGCAAATAACCCTGTACCTCAGTGTGGGGCTGACCTTTGGGGGAGCGCTGTGTGTTGTCAACTGCCTGCTGTCACGTCTGGGTTATGGAGAGGTTTATCAACCAGCTACAGCCCAGGAGCCTTTAGCTCTTTAGCGCTGGAGAGGCACTTAACTCCCGGGGAACTCAGATTCAGAGGTTAGAGCTTCACTCTCTCATAACCAGGCTCAGGCACAGCCTACAGAAGGATTTCTAGCAGGTTACTTCCTGCTACTTTATCGCCTCTTTACTCCTGGATTTTCACAGGCTGACTCATGTTTCCTATCATTAGCACTCTTTGACAATAGCTTCTCTGAAACACCTCTGACATTTGCGACGGGAAATGGGCCTACTGTTCACCAAACCCAGCAATCACCCCCTGAGCAGCAGGATGCCAACTGCCAGGGCAGGAGCGGTGGGCACACGGAGTACAGTATGCTTGAGTAATGATTAACACACAACAAAGAGAGCTGCCTCTGCTGCAAATGGAAACACACTGCGTGCTTCGGATGTAAGAGCATTTTGGTCTAATTCTGCACGCTGCATATAGTAATAAGTCACAACAGGGTGTGCATTAAGCTCATCTTTTGAGAAGTGCAACAGTAGCTGAATAATGCACACCCTGGAGTGTCTTATTTGTAGTGGACTATGGCTCATTAATTTTACATTTAGATTTTTTCAAACCCATTTTAAAAAAAACAAACCACCAGATCTATTCTAAGGGCAGTTATGTAATGTATCCTGCCACACAAAGGTATGTTCACATAAAAACAGTGGGCAAAAGGTGAGGAAGAGCTTTGCTCAACTGCAGGTCAGTGTTTGGTTTGGTTTGTGCAAGGCCATCTGCAAGCATGTTCTTGGCATGCCAATGCAGCTATATAATGCAAATAATTACAGTTATTGAAGTCTATTCAGTGTTCCCTATTTTCTAGACTTTCTTTTTTGTATAATTACCTGGGTCTTTTGCCTTTCTTTTTCTGTACAAAATTCCACCTTTGGGTATGTGAGCCAGCACCCATTTCAGAGCAGGTAGAAAACATTCAGGTGGGGAGGTGACTGCCTTCTACAGCAGGCTGGGAACTGAATCGTCACAGGTTCCTGCTCAGGAGGCAGGCAGGCATGATCTGGGGGGAGACGGTTTTGCTGGAATGGGAGAGGTGTGAGTGTGCATGGATACAACAGGATTTAAAGAACAGAGGGCATTGTAAAAGCTCTGTTTCGTTATGGCGTCACTTCAAAAGCATGAAGGAGGGACATCTGATTTCTGCCGTTCCACGTGAAATATGACTGTGGTTTATCCCTTTGTATAGGTTCCAACCTTGATGATGGACACTCAGTTTTCAGAATTCACTCCAGACATCACCCCAATAATGCTGGCGGCTCACACCAACAACTATGAAATCATCAAACTGCTTGTCCAAAGACGGGTAACAATTCCACGCCCACACCAGATCAGATGCAACTGTGTGGAATGTGTCTCCAGTTCAGAGGTGGACAGCCTGAGGCATTCCAGATCAAGGCTGAACATCTACAAAGCCTTAGCCAGCCCTTCGTTGATTGCCTTATCAAGTGAGGACCCCATCTTGACAGCTTTCCGACTGGGCTGGGAGCTCAAGGAGCTCAGCAAAGTGGAAAATGAGTTCAAGGCTGAATATGAAGAGCTTTCACAGCAGTGCAAGCGTTTTGCTAAGGACCTTTTGGATCAAGCGCGGAGTTCCCGAGAATTGGAGATCATTCTCAATCACAGAGATGATCAAAGCGAAGAGCTGGATCCCCAAAAATGTCATGATTTGGCAAAGCTAAAGGTAGCAATAAAGTATCACCAGAAAGAGGTAAGAGTCATCTAAATGTGAAGGTGTGTGAAGGTTTCATGTGCTGGATAAAATAACTCTTATCTCCAGTCTCCATGGATTCTTTCAGACTTGACAGCAGGATGAGTTTGGGTTGAGCGGAGAGCCCTGTGCAAATGAGTTAGTTGCAAACCAGGAGGTTCAGTGCACCCTGGTGACAGCATGAATCTGGTGACAGTTGAGGGCAGCAGGACTGGGACTTGCTGCAGTGGGTTAGGGCTTCTGCAGCACCGACACTTTCCGTTTCAGGTACTTTAGTCCCGCTTCATTGTAACCCATCACTCTGCCAAGAACAGCCTTCAAAGATTTCCAGGTTTATTTGCTCCAAAAGCTTTTCCCAGTAGCTGCTTTTACACAGGAACCAAAACCTAGCAGGGTTTGTTTGGCTCGTGAAGGTCTTGACTACAGGAAACAATACAATATACAAATCACTTCCTCCAACCACCAAATGCTTCCTAGCACCCATTCAACACTAACTCAGAAGGGCCAGAAAAACAACAGCAGCAGAAGAGAGCAGGGGGGATCAAGAGCACTCTCACTGTCCCAGGTCTCCATGTTGCCAGCAATAGGTCAGAATGCTTGTGTGATGCTAGGAGGTGGATGCAAATACTTCTTCACACCTGGGATACCTCAGGTTGATCCTTGCTCTTGGATTCCTCTGTGATTTAGGAACTGAGAAGCAATTCCCAGAAATTTAAGCTCCTGCCTGTAGAACCAGAAAGGAAAGATGTTCTTCAGCAAAGGCCATGGAGTCTTTCAGAAGCCCTGCAAATCCAGAGATTTGTAAGCTGATTCAATAGAGATTTATAAGCTGATTCAATAAAGGCCATGAACCCAAGGAGAATGCCTGCAACAGTTCCATTAGTTGGCTCTGGATTTTCTTTCTCTTTCCAAAGGTGGACATTTAGTACCATTTAGTAGATGATACATATTTGTTGGCAGTGATGTTCCAGGTTATCTGAAGGAGGAATTTAGCTTGCTTAGTTAAGGAGTGAGTTGCAGTGTCTATTACTTTCTTCAGTGTCCAGAGGGTGACAGGCAGGAGTGGCAGAAAAGCCTGCTACATTCCTCTCTTCACTTTCTTCCCCACATTTGATGCTTTGTTTTGTGCACTGATCCATTTGAGGACAGACTGATATGATGCATTCTGCCTCCCTTAATGGCTGCTTCTGTCATCCTAGGTACAATAATCAAGAAGGGAAAGGTGCAGATTTTCCTTTCTTCTTTGGCCTGTTATGCCTCCTGAGTACAGCCCCTTGATGCAACAAGCTGGGGATGAAGTCTCAAGGTTTCTGGGATCTTACACTGGTCACTTACTGCTCTTACTGGGCAACTCCAGTGCAGCGTCAGCAAGGCTCACTTGGATTCATGTCAGGTTGTATTTTTCACTCTAGTTGACAGTAAGGTGACACCATAAGTGCTTTAGGGACACAAACAAGTAGTGAAGAATTAGTCTGGAAAAGGGTAATACAGTAAATCAGATCAAATGTTCCTTGAATCTAAGAAGGGCCAGAAACTCTACTTCTGTTTTATTTACTGGCCTGATAACCACAGGTGCTGCATGCACACACATCCTTCAGCAGCCAGGATACCACTGGCTCTGCTGTGTGTAGATCACTGCTGATTTCGATGTCTTGTCACAGTTCAAGCTCGCTGTTGACATCCAAGCATAAATCTGTGGCTACCCTTACCTTGTGTTCACATTAAGCAACTGCAAGTCTGGAGCAGTTCACTATTTGAAATGTAATGCTCAACAGTCCTGAAGCTCTTTTATTTTAAGTTACAAACTTTTAATCTTTGCTTGCTTGACAGTTTTAATCTCTTTTTTTTTTCAGGTATAGTTGACTGAATTCCAAGCATATGGACAAATTCCATGTTTTGTGACATATTCATGACAGTTCCAGCACATAAGCGATAGCAAATCTGCTCTGTGTTGCCAGCTAAAGACAGTTCTGTTTCCAGGTGGAACACTGGTGGGCTGGGACAGAATGAATGAGTTTGGTGAACCAGCCCTACCAAACCCCATCATCCTCCCTACTTATTCCCACACACCTGATGCAGCCTGCAGCATGGTGTTGTATTCAGCAAAATATTGCAGTTGTTCTCATATCATGATATTTAGTCCAATACAAAACACCAAGCAAGATGCAAATGTCATTGCCAGCTTCTGGATAAAGCAAGTAGGAACATTTGTCAGGGAGACTAAGAAAGGCCTATTAATCATGATTGAAGGGTATCAACCGAGAGAGATTTTGTGGGGATGGGGAGGAAAATAGAAGCAAGTTTGGTGCCATGAAAGACAGTTCTGCAGAGAGAAACAGCAGGATTTTTAAAAGTAGATCATCTTGTTCCACTGAAGCTTTTTATGTCTTCACGTTAAATGGGATTGGATTGGATGGAGAAGCTTTTCATGTCTTAAAGTTGACAAAGTCACAAGTCAAATCCTTAGTAGCCTAAAATGAAAATCCCAAGTGGACCTTGGTTAAGTTCTGTGTCTGTAAAAATTGTTACCTTAGTTGTTAATTCTTTATATTCAGCATAAGCAATGTGTAATCTCCCATTGATTTTAGACTAATTGCTAGCCAAATTCCCTGCAGCTTTTCTTCGTTTTGAGAGAAATAAACCTCAAACTTCCCCCCCCAATGTGAAATTATTCCATTTCAGCTTCATCAGGCAGAGATGTTCCACATTTGTCTAGAGAAGTTGTTAAGAAGGATTGGTAAAGAGATCGTTGCCTTTGGATGGAGGGGCTCTACTGTGTGTTTTGGGAAGGTAACAGATCTAAAAGTTATTATTTCTTTGTACCAGCCTAAGTGATGTGGGAATTCAAGAGTACTCTTCACAAGCCACGTTATTCAGTGTTCTTCTCTCCCAGGCATTCCAGATGAACCCACTGCGTGTTTGTTTTTCCCCCCATTGCACTTCTGTACTGAAGAGTATGTACTGGTTTGATCCAGGTACGGAAAAGTAACAGCATTTACATTTCTAGTGCAGGTTGATGATCTCCAGCAATGAACATACAGGACTGAATAAAATCCTGATGGGAAAAGCTAAATATCTATGGGTAGTTCTTGTTCCAAACTGGGCCCATGGAGGAAAGCTTTTTAAAGCTAGTTAGGCTGCTTAAATATGCAGGTAGTAGGCAATAAGTTTTTAAACAGAGTATAAAGTGGTTAAGTGCCTGGATCCTGATAGAGATTAGACACTTACCTTGCTGAGGCAGTTTGGAATTCCACTGCTGAATTAGCTGCATCTCTTGGAGAAAAACATGATCTTGTGCAGTGAGTTTTAGCCAACAGTTAGCAATCAGTCCCACCACGGACTCAAATCCCTGTTCTCTGCACCGAATCCAGTAAACATGATACACACAACTTCATCTTTTGATCTGGCCCGAGTGCCTCAGTCTTCTCAATGGGCAACCTGGATGAGGGCTGCATTAGCAAGGGGAACCAGTTCACTTCAGTCCCATCTCCAGAGGAATATGAGCTCCACAGAGGCTCCACCTCAGTCTGTGTCCCCAGGTAAATCCCACCAGTGCCTTTCTGCCTGATGATGCAGATGTGGGTTTAATCTTTACAGGGGCAGAGAAATCTCCCATTCTTTTCCTTTTTCCAACAGAAAAGCCTGGGAGGTAGAAGGTTTGATTACTCCCAAACATTACATGTGTTAAGTATTTGATATAGTGTCACTCATAAGGAAGAAGTAATTTTCCTTTGGAGGAGGGCCTGAACAATGGAGAAAAGATTTCTTGCTTTTCATGTTTGTTTTTAATAAGCCCCTATATCCTAGAAGGTAAATTACTGTTTACAGAGAAGGAAAAATTTCAATTATACAGGCAAGATTAAAATGTGCCCTAAGGTAGCTTTGTAGTGTATTTTACAGTGGTAAATGTTAAAACCATGCTGTGCAGTGTTCACAAGCTCCCTCGCCATCTCATCTTCAGTGTAGAATGATCGTGTTCTCAGCTTCAAATTAGAAAGGGACCCGATAATTTCTTTAGAAGATAGGAAGAACTTGCTAGTTGTGATCACTCTTAGATGGCAGTCACAAAACCTGAGGACAGCTGTAGTACGCTGGGAAATGGGATGAGGATGAGTTAGATGCAGCGTGGACACGTCAGTTTGCTCGATCCACTTTTGAAAGAAATTGTTTTAATAGGATCACAGCAATCCACAGCCTAAGAAACAAGCAGGCTTTTCAGAAATGCTCTGCAGTTTATGGCACTTCTCTTCGTATTATTACTTATCAAATTCTTTTATTCATGGCTAATTTTGGAAGGAGAAAGGTGCTGAAAACTTAATACAAAAAGGCACAGCTCAGCTGTTGAGGATCAGTGTTTGCTTTGCAGTTCTGGCACCACATTAGCTCTGCATTTGTTAATTTGTTTGCATTTCTAAGAAAAGGTGGGGAAAAGTCATCTCTCAGGATCTTGCCAGTCATGTAAAACACAGTTGTATGTACAGTGTACCATCGCTGTGTTAGAGGATTGGAGCATAGGCGGACTGCAAATACCGTTTTAATGTTCTTTAAGGTTTTTTCACATTGCCAAAATGATGTAAGGCAACCATACTGTAGCAGTGACTCAGGTCTAACGGGGCAGGTTTCTCCTTGTATGTGCTAAGCCTTAAGAAAAATAATATACATTCAGCCTATTCTGCTTTCCTGCCCTCCTGCACAGGTCATTCACATCTTCAAGATGAAGTGAAACATCACAGCAGTGGGGTTTTAGTGCTTTGCATTTTTCTGGTACTGGTAGTTGCAAACGGCTGTGCAGGTTTAGTTGATAGGTCTGCAAGAAACACACAATGCAAAGCAGTCAGAAAAAAACCCTATTTTACCTATAACTATATTGCTTAGCAATATGGATCCTTAGACCAAGGAAGTGCATTAAATTCCCTCAGAGAAACCTTGACTGCAGTCCCTCTTACTCACTCTAATCAGTGACAGGAAAGAAGTATAATTGTTAGCTTTTCTAATTTAAA